CTGATGCTTTTGTATCTAAACCTTATCTCACTTTTGTGTGTTTATGAAAGAATACTGTCAATTTGGAACCACATTTAAATCTTAAAATGATTTTAGACTGTGATACAATAAAATGATTCAATGTTTTTTGTCCTTACTGCTTTCCAAATATAGTGAATTTACACTTACCTGCCCTTGATTGAACATTAGATATGCATGAGAGGCGGAGCTAACATTGTTAGAGTGGGTCTAAAATTAGACTTGATAAATAACAATGACATGTTTGGAAAAACGAACGTGATCACTCTTTCCAATCCCCCTCTCCATTCTGTATGGCACAAATACACTTCTGACAAAGGCTTCAAAACGAAATTAACAATACGAGCACGTCAATGTAATTAAAGCAGATTTTATATCAATGCCAGATGACTTAACGTGTTCGAACACAATGTCCTAGTTAGCACTTAACATGCTACCTTACAAGTCACGTGACGGAATTTAATATTCACAAAGTTACCTGAGGTAAGAAATCACGTGGTGAATTATAATATTCAACATGTCACAATCCTTGATTACAACACAGAGAGCGAATGTAAGAAGAAGCCGTTTTTTCTCTTTTTAACCATGAGCGCATGTTTGTCTATTAATCTCCTTTTAACACATTATCATTTATGCAAATATACAACTACTGTTACACGTAGAACAATAGACAAACATGCGCTGACTATGTATAAAGTCAGTCAAAAAGTGGGCGTCCTCATTATCGAACGGAGATTCAAGAAATTGTGATGACCCCTGCCTTTGAAAACAGATTCGAACTTCGTAAATACACACTTTTATTAAACCTAATTACATAAAGTTGTAGATTGGATGTTGACCATTCTTGCAATGAAAAGAAAAATCCTTGTTTTGAAAGTTTATTTTGTCGCAAATTCCGCATGTCCTTAAGTGCAGTCATCCTTTAGAACAGAGAGTCATTAGGCCTTAATGAAAAAGGATTATTCTCTTTCAGTGTTGAGAAATAGTGCTTGCACATGAAAAATTACAATTTCGTGATCAAAAACTTTTATATTCTACTTAGATATGTTGTCCAAAATCAGGGCTTGTAATTAATATTGGATACTTAAAAATTTCAACTGAAGGAACTTCTGGAAAATTTGAAATCACATATTTTTTCCAAAGTCAGGAACATAAAAACTTACTTTTCAACTCTGTATACAACCAATTGTAGTCCAGGCTTTTTGACATCATTGACAGCTGCTTTTTCAATAAAAATGGAACTCGTAAATTTACTTACCTTGTCATTGGTCATTTGCAAAACTATTCCGTTAAAAACATTCTGATTGTACACGCAAGTACTCTGAAGTTGAAATTAAAAAGATGCTTGAGTTTTTGATTGGCAATGTCTATATGGTTTTTGGAGACCAGGTCTTCCAACAATCTGTTCGAGAATTCCCATCGGTACCAATTGCGCCCCGTTGTTAGCAGACCTATTTTTGTATTGATATGAAGCAGAATTTATTGTAAATCTTATACATAAGAAATCTCTTGCTGTGGCCTTCAACTCGACATTTAGATATATCGATGACGTATTATCAATTAACAATTATAGTTATTACTAGATGAAATCCCGCGCAAGCGCGGGGATTTGTTCAAAATCCCGCATGAAGTAGAAGACAATTCGTCTCCACCCCCTCCCCCCTTGTAAAACTTAAATAAAAATTTTAATAAATTGACGTTTATTGTGAAACCTGTTATATACTATGGATATTGTATATACTATATTATGGATATTGTACTTCATATGCTCTTATTTCATTTCCGTCAAGAAATGCACATTCTACTGAGAAATTGATTTGGGGGGGGGGGGGGTAAAAATTTACTGGTACTTGGATCTTGGTTTAGAAATATGTATGTACCTTATTGATATGTAAAAACTGTACCTTACCTTTTTTAACATATCAATAAGGTACATACATTTTTATAATCCAAGACCCAAGTACCTGTGCAAAAATTAGCTTTTATATAACGCCCTATGAGTACACTGGCGGATTTAGAGGGGGCAGCCACCCTCCCGTTTTGTGTCCAAAATATACATGGAATTTAACAAATCATTTTTTTTTGGGGTGTGTGCGTGGGCCCCTACCCCAACCTGGTCGCCCCCCCCCCCTTCACCCCCATTTTCAAGATTTCTGGATCCGCCACTAGAATAGGCCGAGTACTTGATACAAAAGACTATATTCAGAAAAAAACTGAAATGTATTGATTAAAGCACAACATTTTACAGTATAATTGTATTTGAACAATGCCTTATTCATTAATTTTCTCTTTTCAAGTTTATTACAAAGTACAAATTGTACTTCGGGTTCGTTGTCACGATGCTCTCAGTGAGAAATATATACAAATTTTATCGATAAATTTATTAGGAAAACCTGCTAAATATATGTAACAGTCTTTCGATATATAAATATATTCACAACTTACAGTGTTATCAATGATTTACCATTATTTCAATAACCATTCACACAAAAGCTTTTTTTATGTTAAAGCAGCTATTTTCTTTTTAACATCGGGCTCGATGCTATATGATGTTCTAGAAGCTTCCGTCAATATTACGATCGATAAATGACGAAAATAATTTGCACAGTTTCCTTTTTAAGCAGTTATCACAACTTATTTCTTTTATATCATTTAAATCAAGGTTTGATTGAATAATTCAGTAATGACGTTTAATGAAATAAATAAACGATTGCTTGTTGTCAGTTTCATTAAAAATTGCCAGTAACTTAGATCCACCAACCGGAAACGCCACCGTACTCACGTTTTGCTATTTCATGGCTGTTTATAGAAAATAAAAGTAGACTTTTGATTTAATGTACGATACTTACTATGCAAGTGAAATCTAAATATAGTTTACGGACATCATCTTGTATCGTGTGTATTCTTAGAGGAGTAAGTAAGAACTCTGGTGCACGCGTTTCGGAGTTTATTTGCAAAATTTATTAATTTATAAGTATAGATGTACCGAGCTACCGTGAACGGTAACTTAAAATTTGAGTACAGGTAAGTAACTTCTGGCTATATTACAGTATGTAAAGAAAAAATATGTATTACAAATAGAAATTAATATGTAGCACTAATTTTTCAAACCTAATCTCGTATTTTTGTTCCACCATTCAAAATATCTTATAATGAAATATGTTACTTTTTTAAAAATCTACTTGCAGCTTAATATTATCGTTGCATATGACTTTGAATTAGTTACATCTTGAAAAGGGCTGGTAGACTTACCCACTCAAAATTTTATGTTTAAGGCATTTCTAAATAATCATCTAAAATTTGAGTGTCAGTCGTCAAGTTAAAAGCGAGATACATAACTCACATTTCTTTGTTATGTAAGTGGATTGAAATTCGTATCAAGCAAAATACGGAGGATGGCTAAGCTCTGCAAACGTTTCTTTCTTCAAAATCCCCTTTACATCTCCATTTGCAGCAGCGTTGTCAGCGACAAGAAAAAAATACCCTGGATACCGGTATTTGAACTTCTCTTACAGAAAACCTGCTTCATCTTTCCTTAATACAATTTTAACATAAATGCTACCATTGATGGTCCTTCCTTTGGGTGCAGATGCATGTTTTACCTGACTTCTTCAATAGAAAGAAAAACCAGTATTAGACCTGTTTGGAATTATGGCTTCTCTTCGCAATAATAGGATGACAGCTTCCTCTCCGATTCCACATTTTATTATTGACTTTCTATTTGGGCTTTAAACAGTGCACCCATGTCTCGTCACCCATCACGCAGGTTTATAATATCTTCTTTTGTTAAAATGTTAATATTTTAATAGACCCTTGGCACATTTAACGCGTGTTTCCTTGTAGGCATCTGTAAGGAGATAATGCACTCATTTGATAGAAATATCTTTTTCAGTTCATTTCCTTCGTCAGAACGCAATCAATTGTTGTGATGATGAAACGTTTAGTGTCTTAGCTACGTCTATCACTGTAAATATGGCATTTTCAGATACCATGTTGCTCACAGGATCAGTATTTTTGGTGTCCCTTCAAATCTTGATCGACCAATCTCCCTTCCACTTTTGAATTTTTTAATCCAAATAGACACTATATACTGCGTGAAACACTAGTCTTTCAAGATATGATAACCATGTTTTCATTTGGGTTCTTCGGTGAGTTTTGTAATGAACCGCAGTTTTCTCATAAGCCCTCACAACGAAAATTAAAACCCCGCAATTTTAGTGATTTAAGTAATTTTTTTTATTAAATTGACACCAATTTCAATAACCCTGATTCTGATATGCTTTAACCTCAAAGACTAAAACTTGGATAGCATAAGGAAGTCGATTTATATCAAGACAAACATGATTAATCTCAATTTTCAATCAACATTAATTTGTTGGAAATGTTAAAATGATGAATATCTGTTAGGCTCTGCATAGGTACAATGTAAGATAATGTTCTGATAAATATCAAAATTAGTCATTGAAAAAGTGGTTCTCTTATCAAATTACATATAAACTGCATAAACATTTGAGCACTGACTTGTAATTTTCTTTCAAGGGAACCCAGTTAAATGTTTAAAATTTATGTTTTACATTATCAAACAGATGGCTATGATTTTCTCCCCAATAACCTTTGCATTAAAAAATAGTCTGCAATTGAGAGGTATCCCAAATGTTTCTTTTATCAGAATGTGTGAGTTATTCACTGCGCAAAATACCTGTTAAGTCACTGTATATAAAATCGAGAAATGCTCCTAAATTTATCTCTTCTTCTTTGTGCACTTGCACTTTGTATGAGGTTAACTGACACTTCGTGAAAGCAATTATAAGTAAAAAAAAAAAAAAAAGTGAATGACTTGCACTAACAACTTTGCAATAATTCCTCTTTTCAGAAGCGCAATACATAATTACATAATTATACTGAGTTATCTAACTTTTGAGGTTTCAAGGTACAAAAATGCCAGTATATCTATTTTTAATAATTTATTTCTCAAAATCCTTTACTATATGTTTTATAATCCAATGACAACGAGTTTTAACTTAAAGAAACGATTTTAATCACTGTTACAAAGGGGAAAAAAACAGCTATTGAGACTCAAAGATCTACCTTTCTTAAAAATTGAATGGAAGAATTTAAAATTTACACAAAAATCATATGCAAAGTAATGTACATTTGGTACGAAGTTATAAATAGCGACAAATTGTTATGACAGGGTTATATAAATAGGCATTGTAAACTCTATTCCAACAATTTGCTGGTTGGGCTTCATTACTTAATAATGGCTAACAAGCAATGAGATCAAATTGCTTCGCAAGAGATAAAAACATTATGCATACAAACAATAATTTACAGCCTGCTGAAATAAATAAGAAAATCTTAAACTGAACTTGAGGACAAATAAATAGTTTATAACCCACTGTAAATCTCAGTGATTCATCGTCATTTTCCAAACTCAAAAAATAAAAAAAAATGCAAAAGTACAGATATTTTAAATATACCAATGCACAATAAAGAACCATATTTAAATCTCTTTCAAATTGAATTATTTTGAATATCTGAATAGCTGTTTTCAGAAAACAAGGTCTTTTCCGTTGTGGGAAAAGGATACCCTGTTCTCCTCTTGCTTAGTGTTTGATTCTATTTTAGTCGCTGAGTCACATTAGCCAGCGCCACGGCAAATGCTTGGAGTGCAGTGAAAGGATACTGGAAATCCAAAGTGTAAGCATTGCTACCAATCCTTCCAAACTGCATCACCTGAAAGTTAAATTAATTGTTCAAAAACCTGCAACTTACTTCAAATGCAGGAAATACATACGTTATTGAAATAAATCAACTACCATCATAATCTATGAATAACGATGGACTATAGGTTTAGTGTTAGTATGGAAAATACTAATGTTAGATAAAAGAAATTATCAATATCCTTTCATACTAATACTTTCATAATAAAATGTTTTTTTATTAAAATAAGTTGTTGGAAGCATACTGCAGTAAAAATACATAAATATACGTAAAAAACTTGATTACAACAATACTTTGTATGCATTTCTAAAATATGACAGTTAACGCATTCGGACAAAAATATTAGATTCCATTATTTACTACTTGATAACCCCAAACATTCAACACTTTACAAGATTGCACAAGTTATCCGCATTCCATCAGGTAGCCTTGAAGTTTAAATTGCATACCTACATTACAAATGGGGTTACGTATTCTTTTCCGTACCTATCCCATTGGTTGGCCTACTTTATTGATCTTTATAAAGAATTACTCATCCCATTTATGAGGGTACTACAGACGGCCGACAAAGAAGAAAATAACAGCAGAAAATAATAGCACAACATCCGGTTATTATGATCTCATTTGTTTGCCTAAATATAAAATGTCAGCAGAAAGACCCTGCCAGTAGATGACACTAAATCCCCCATCATTTCCCTAAATCTCATAATGCACTGTGACCTGGTAACTTTGATCTGAAACGGGTAGACCAATCATTTTCATTTGAACTTCACAGATTGCATTAAATAGATAAGTGAGTAATGCATCTCCTGACGACCAATAAGTGCTACTGTACCATCGATGTGCAGTTTATAAACCTATACGATCGGGAATTGCACCATGCCTGGCAAGTTCCCACGGGTTTTCTTTTAAAGATAATTATTTTCTTTCAATTAAATTTCAATGTCATATCTGTAAAATCCTTGGAACAGTATTTTAAAATTCGAACAAAACGTAATATCATCCTCCGGAAACAAACCTAAAAGAAATGCTTTCGTTCAATATTTTATCATCTTACGTATATATCTTGAAACTTGCACGGGAAAATTTATTGAATTTATAACTAGAAAAAAAAACTTACTACTAAATTTAATTATATCATTATATTACTTTACATCTGCATGGTTCTTAAGAGAAGTGTGTTCATTTGGAATTGGTCACTTGATCCTGCTAAAATTTCAAACTCGTACAGATTTATTCTTGCAGATACAGTTGCATTTTAGGCAAATACTTTGCATGGATTTAGCATATGGGCTGAAGTTAAACTTAATGTCAAGCAAAATGTTTTGTCCCTCCAAGGAATAGCTCCTTCTAGGATACTTTATGACTTAATAGGAAAGTCTCTTGAAATAAGCAACTGCACAATATGCAACTTCACAGCAATACTACTTCAATATACACTGGTAATGTTTCCATTTAACAATCCTCAAATTTGCAAGATTTTTTTTACATGTTTTAAATCAAGTGTCTTTCAGACATGATGCTGCTCATTGACAAACAAGACGTACAATGGGATAACAGCAAAAATCTCCCCACAATAAAAATGCATTTGACTCTAGGGTATACGTCCTGTAAATCAATCATATGGTGCATTTTGCATAAATACAAATGCATGTTCCATTTCTTGATAATATGTACTTTTTTCTTTTTACAAGAATAATTCGAAATAAACAAAGGATGCCCACAAATGCACAGTTGATTCTTCTCCAAGAGTTCTTGTCAATTTGAAAAACTTGCCATTCAGATTGAATTATATTCATATATATATAATATCATATAAATAGTGCATGTTTTTGGGGGTAACAGAAATTGAAATGGTCAACCGACGCGTCAGCAGAGGTTGACAATGGTTTTCCGAGGAGGTATCAATTTCAACTGTTACCCTCAAAAAAAAAATTACTATTTATTTCATTATACTGAATGTCTTATTGATTAGCATGCCAGTAAAAAAAAGTTCAAGTCTGGAGAGCTTTTAAACTCCCTGCTTCTGTTTTTCTCAATAAGAAAGCTTCGAAAAAGCTTGACAGACCTCTTTATTGTTTGTTTGATTGATACTCAGTCATTTTTCATACAAAGTTTCGTTATTTATGCTCTCTCGACAATTTTTATCTGTCGTTTGTTGTTTTCAATCAAGCTACAAGTACATCGGAGCTTTGATTGAAATCAAGTTTATTCTGCTTTTTTTCAAACGCATAACTGACGTTTTTGAGAATTTTAAGGCGAATCGTAATTTACACGCATGTGACATTATCATTGTGTTACCCATTGTCTAGTGTGTTGCTAATGCTGAGGGTAACATAACAAATTGTTAAATGCGTCTAAACCAATCATATTTTAGTATTTAACGTGAAAGTTTAATAATTATAAATATCGATACGTACCGATGTTCAAAAATGTATCGAAAAATAACTTCCAATACGTATCGGGCAGTCAGTTTATCTTATAATTCTGTGAAAAAATTGGGAATTTCGATCACCAAACATCAGATTTTCTTGTTTGGAATTAAAACTGATAAATTATGATATCAACATTAAGGAGAGAGCACATCTTAAATAACTATTACAATCTACACAGATAACTATAATTATATTTTAACATGTTGGTTTTACAATCGTTAAAAATTTGAATTTGAAGCGTATTTTGTAATGACAGTGATGCAAGAACTTCGAAATCATTATGGATTATAAAACACGCAATTTTTATAAAATATATGCATTAATTTAAATGATTTACAAGACTTTTTTGATAGACTTATTAAAGTATCCAATATATCGCATATCGCTTTATAAAACATCGCATCATATCGTATCGAAATTTTCTTTGCTCAATACAGAGCCCTAACATTTAATAACCATAATCCGATATCGTAACGCTTTCGTAATTAAATTTGAAAACAAATTTTTGAGATCAAAAAGCAATTAAAAAAAAATAAATCCAGAGAAACAAAACAACCAAAATGCAAACCTGGCGACTTCGGAACTCAATCTGGAAATTTTTGGCTGACTCCTGACTGACCCTTCCTCCAAAGTCCAACTGATAGACCTGACTGTTCTCATTCCATAGAGGAGCTTTATTATGCATGACAAATTGGCGATACCCCAGGTGTGGATATCTCGACCTTCCCCTGTCTTCACTTCTTTTCCGTACCTTCTGAAGCTAATACATTGACAGGCAATAGTTTTACTTGTTTCTATCTTTCATCATATTCAAAATGAAAAGTTATTTTGTACATGTAGGTACACATACCAAACATTAAACTTGGAGATACAGTAAAGAACTGAAGCTACATTGAAGATTTGCAATTTGAGTTATCATTCTTTGGTCTACGAAATAGTTCTTTTACTCAATAATGAATTAATACTAATACCTTCTGTTTTAGCTGCGTTTTCTGGAAGGTCTCCAAATTCTTGAAACTCTGGGAGTACTTAATGTCCTCAAAAGCCTGTTCATTTTCCTTATGATGGTAACTTCTTGGATTAAAATGTCTTGATTTCCGTTTAAATATAGGACTATAGTGCTTACAAGTGCCCTGAAGAACTTCTTCTCTTATATCTCTCATTGGAGAATCTGCAGCCCTGTGCAAGGGAGAATTTGGCAGAGAGGCACTATGACAGATTTCTAAACTAGAAGTTTTGCGAGTGAAAGAATCAGGATCAACCACTTCATCATCGTAATGAAACACAGAACATGAAGCACCTGAGAATACACTATTACTTCTACATGTGTCTTTATGCACATCTTCTAAAGACCCTAACATTGTGTTTGATTCCTCACCAGTTTCCGAGGGCTCTGGACTGTGATCACAGATAATTGCATCAGAGTCTACATTTGTTAGGGTTTCTAAATACAATCTTTTCTGGTTATCAGAAAAGGTTGGAGTCAATTGACTAGAATCACAAATTATTCCTGCCATATTGTCTGAATTTTCAGAGGCTCGATTGTTTAATCCCTCATCATCTATGAATTTGATGCCGGGATTTGCCAAATCTGCCCACCGATTCTCATCCCCATCCTTCATTATATTTGAAACTTCATTATGTAAACTAGTTCTCATTGAAGATGAATTATTTGTTTGAATTAATGTCTCCCCGGTAGGTGTTCCCACAGTCACTTCTGATGAGCTGCCATTTTGAGCAACACTCCTTACCTTTGGAATTGCACCTTGACCTATGAGCTTGTCCTTGATAACAGAATTATCCAAAGTGTTAAAGGCATTGTTTTGAGCAACTGATTCAGAGGCAGGAGAAAGAGTCCTGTTTTTCATGTTTGGAGACCAATGAAGTCTTTCACCATTTAATACATTGTAGTTACTACTCACATTTCCACTGATATCGCACAATACCTTTTCATCATTTTGATTGGTTGAGTTTGAAGATAGTTTTATATCCATGAAAACATGGCTTGTTAGTTGATTAGCATTATCACCATTACATGTTTCTGACACAAGCATTCCATCTTCAAATCCAATGTCATCTGGATCAACAGCGAAATCATCATCTGAAATAAAAGAAACTAAATAAAATCCACATACATATATTATCCAGATTGGGATCGATACAGTAGTCACTTATGAAAAACACAATTAAACAGAACTGCTACACAATCCATATTTTAATAAATGTATAAAGATACTACATCTAAAATGTCCTTTTTAAAGGTAAGAAATTGTGGGAATGATTAGGGAAGAATGTTTACTTATTTAATAACTAGCTGAATACAAGTATTATAGTGACAAATATATTTTTATTACAGACATTCAGTTATATAGTAATCAAAAAGAAGAAGGAAATGTTAGTGAAATGCCACTCCCCAAAAAATAAAGATCTATGTTAATACCTGGATGCAATACCTTGAACTGGGATGTAACTTGTCCTTGACTTTCTTTTGGCCTTGAATATATAAATTCTTTCTCTTGTACAGTTTACAAGACACTACCAATATTAAACCTATGGGCATGCAAACAACACAAAACAAAAAGTATCTTTGAATTGTGCTTTAGAAATTTCATTCCCTTGAAGCAACACTCTCAACTTCATGGATAAAATGAATTCTGAGTTAAAACTTCTTGAATTTTTCTGTTAAAAGTATCTTTGCAAAGTGCCTTTCATTGCAGTGATTCAATAGTTGACAATTTGAAGTCAGAGATATACATGTCCTCTCATTTTAGTTTTTATATTTATAGAACACAATACTTCTTCAGTACCTCTTTATATATATATATATATGAACAACGTCAGGAGCAGTCAACTTACTTCATTTTTTAGAAGGAAATCTTGAGCAATCTTGACCTTTGGATGACCATGCAAATCAGAATCTCAAGTAATTTGAGAATGTGAAAGACTTGCACAGATTGTGCTAATCATCCAAAACAGAAATGAATTTATTCATGACCCTTTTTCCAGCCTGACAGCCAAAAGTATAGTGATAAATTTGAGACATATTTTTTTCACATAATTCTTCTGAATATAAGTTGTCTCTAAATACCTTACACTTTCACTTTTTTTCTCCATGGTATGATAATATGATGTGTTTTTTATCACTACATGTACAATTGACATCAATAGTTTAAATTCTGGTCAAAAATCATTGCAAAATAATGAATTAGTTTTACAAAGTACTAGTAACCCCTTAGGATCTGAAAATAATATTGCAAATTGGTTTTTTTAATGACCTTTTTTTATTATGCACTTCTGGTCAACACCAAGGGAATTTTAGAAATGATTTATTCTAGTGCAAAAATTCATATTGGATAATACTGAGGATTTTTTAATAATGTCTTATTTTGCCAGGGCAATGGAATTATTATTGTGGTATTAATCATTAATTGAACATTCATAATAAAATATCATTACTCTGCAAACAATACAGTGTCAGATAAAAGTATTAATATCAGTATTATGCAAGACTAATTATTCCAACTTGTTGGAGGCTGGATGGTATCCCAAAGTTAAAAGTAGATGTTAAAGACAACTTCAGGGAAATTCTTTATTCATCTATAAAGTACAGTGTAACATTTAGATTAAGTTAAAAATTAATGTCTTCCATCTATATCGCCTTCATTGTAAGTAACACTTTTGCAAGTTTTGTGAGTTCCAAAAGAATTATCATATTTTACTGTATGCATTCTTCAAACTTTGTGTTGTTGAGGGTACTTGTTGCTAGAAATTAACATTCTAGTCACTTACATGTATTACTATGAAACTACACATGTCAAATGATTTGTAAGAGCTGAATAAACAGTAATATTAGAATTCTTGTATTTAGTATATAACTATTATGTAACTACTATGTTACCTACAGTTTGCCAGGCAAGCCAAAAAAAAAAAAGTAAATATGGCACAAAAAATTCTATGAAAACAGTACTTCACTGATGGATATCTCAATATTTGAAAAAAACATTATTATTCTCAAAATAATGTCACACTCTTTACAAATCTACTGCTAATTATAGAAAGGCAGATCATTATAGAATTTCTCTCATTATAGCAATACTCCAAGAAAGCTAAATTTGCTTCATTATATCATTTTAATACTTGATATATGTAAATAACATTTCATAGCTTAAAACTAGATGTGTATCTGGAACAAATTAATAATATGGTTTCATTATAAGCAAATAAACACATTCATTGCAAGTGCATTTACTACAAAAGTAATTTAATGACTGTTCATGTTCAACACACTTACTGAAACTTAACATTTATTCATCATGTTCATCTACGAGAAATATCAACAAGTCTCATGACCTTCTTTAACTCCCAAGTAATTTTCTAAAGTAATTTAATTACTGCTTGTACATGTTCAGCACACTTAATGTAACTTAATATTTATTCACCTACAATGTACCAGAATAATCCACACAAGTTTCACGACCTTCTTTAACTCTCCTTAAGTAATTTTCTCCACAAACCATTTATTCAACTGCATGTGCATTTATGTACAAATGTTTCTTCAGACTCAAAAACTGGTATCATAAATGGGTATGAATTTCAAAATGATGAATCACAAATAAAAGTTTTTCCAAATAACAGTTGGTTTATAGTATGCAAACTCCATACTTACATGATCTGCTATCCCCTTCCTCATCACATTGTCCGGCAGGGGTAAAGTTAGGATCCCTGGACAAGGGTTGATTCACTGTGCTGAGAGCAGTAATGGTGATGGTCATTTGTCTTGGCTGGAGGTGTAGGAGACTGGTTTTATACAGGACATTTCCCAGATCCTCTGGAAGGAATGGTGCTAGGCCTGTCAGCTTAAACTTGGTCCCCCAAATATTTGAGGTCACTTCTACCAGTTTATTACTCTATGAAAAAGAATCTCAGACTTTTCTCAAATAATAAGGATTGGAGTGCACTAAAAACAAATAATTACATAATTTTACTTTATATGCTTCACCACTATACAGTTTATAGGAATATAATCAATAATCAAATCAGAATGAAGTTGAAATGAAAATTGCAATATGGCAATACTGGAACAAATTTCAATTTAAGTTGATATCTGAATTTACCAGCCCTACAGTTGTACTGGTTTATAAAAATTATATATTGATGTTACTATGGAGGTAAATTGAAATTTGATAAAAGAAATGTTATTTCAAGAGATTGCTTCTGCATTAATATGTTTTGGCAATTGGAGATTTGTCTCCAATGTGTACATGTATGTTTGGTATATGAGGGAATGAGTGAACATGTCAAAAATAACACTGAAAATACAAGTTTGATTACTATTACGTATACAATGTACTAGCTATTTATGGCCAATGGATTTGTAACTTGCTATTGCTAAAACAAAGCAAAGCAGTTGACATTTCAAGAATTGGATTATACACCAGAATTCATTTCCTTCAACAGAAATAAACTACCAGACTATTTTATCCTTTGCTAGGATTATGATTTTCTTGGACAACACAGTAATACAAGAGAGAATGTTTGAATAATGGCCCAAAAACTAATGTTTTTTATTGATTTACATAGATGTGATTTACATAGATTCAAGATATTTTATGCCTTTTTTCCACTATAAATGTCAAAGATGATATGAAATAAATGACAAATTTATATGTGAAGTAATTAATCAATCACATTGGCACCCAAGTATATGACTCTCTCATTTCTTATGGATAAGTATTTTCATCTAAATCAATGAGTTGTCTTCAAATTAGAAAGATATTGATCCACTTACATTCCCCAAGGAATTGTTAGTAAAAATGAATGAGAAAAAACTTCTCTGTAATTCAATTTATCTCAAACTCGAGCATAAAACATGTACATCACAGAATTTTATAGATCTTTATGAAATCCTCAAATGATTACAGAAGAAGAAAAAGAGCAGACCTTCTGTCATTGCTTGAAGCAATTTTTTCTCCAATTAACATTGAATTCTTATAAATGAGGATTTATTAGAGAACTGTAATACAATGCCTTAGGTTTTTTTCAGAGACAAGCTATATGAATATATCTTCAACTGTTTGTGATGGGTTGTGCATTTCCACTACTCTAGGGAGATTTTCGTATATATAAAAGCCAGTTCTTATTTCCATATGCAAGAGTCCATCAGTTAAACCAGATGATGAATAAAACATGCATAGCTGCCATTTCAGACGGAGTTGATATTAAATATGATATATAGGGAAATTATGTATATAATATTATCTGTGCTATCAATAGATCATTAACTGCTCTCTAAGAAATTTATCCCTTTAGGGAATTTTAATTCATGATTTTATTTGTTACAATGGTCATTTATTAAATTATGCCTACCACAAACTTAAAACAGGGATACTGCACAGCTATCTCATACTATGACATCTGCGATTTGGCCTGTACAAATACTCAATAAAACCCAAATCCAATAAAAATCCTGGTATATGACCTCTTTTATCCCTTATCAGAATAATATGATAAACACAAATTCTGAACAACAAAACAAGTAATTCGATAGAAAAGATGTATGCAATTTTAAAAAAAAATGTCCTTGCTTCACACAGTTTAAATAAGCATATCATTTGGAGTTGTTTGGTAGGAAATTATCATATTTCACAAAAAAACCTTTAACTTGTTGACAATGATAAAACCCTTTTAACAAACATTTGACAAATTTGTTAAATGTGCACTAAAGGATTGCAGATTTTACTTCCTGGCTCAGGTTCATTAGTACTGGGTGACTGATGACTTGCAAAATATCAGGGTATTCAAACAACCCAAACTAGTCCCAGACTGTTTGTAACCTGTAGAATGCACCTAGTTGCAATTACTTTTAGTTAGAGTGCATTCTTTGAATCTTTAATACTAATACCACCCAAAGAGCCTCCGAACATACTGAGTGCATTTTTCGCATACATATCTTAATTTCTCAAGTACAAACCTCTGGAAGACTGTCATTGTATAAAAGTTCATCGAGTGTACGAAAAGTAATAGATCTGTCCACTTTCTTTGCTCTGAAAATTTTGGGTCGTTTTTTGCGTTGCATTCTAGGAGAACCACAACCATCAGAAGGAATATCTTCATCAGAGTCGGTTAAGCTGGCTTCAAAGTCAAACTCCGGAGTATTCTGGTCTGAATGATAGGAAATTTATTTACTTATCATGAATTATTTAAAAACACACACACATACAAAAACTAATCTTATATTTAAATATAATCCCTTTTCTATTTGAATTTCGAAGTCCTGTTACTGCAAATTATTGCATTTTATTCATAGTTACAAAAAAAAAAAAAACAAAAAAAAAAACAAAAAAAAAAAACCTTTATACCTTCAAATGCACATGTGATTTTCAATATAAAGAACATGTAATTATACAACTGAAGACCAACTGCTATACACCAGAAAAATAACATGATTATGGACCATAATGTTCATCTGAGTCACAATTCTCCATGTAAATTGTAGCTCCAGGCTGTGGTGATTAAAGAATTTTTTTTTTAAAGATTTTCTGTAGAATGAGATTACAATTTTTACATTTCATATCAAGTGTCAGCATAACTGTAGAATTAAATTGTTGAAAAGAAATTCTTTCAATTTAGAATTAAAATAAGTGCATGGTTAACAGAGAAAATCTTTTAAAAAAAAAAATTCTTTAATCGCCACAGCCTGAAGCTACAATTTAAGTTATTTTTAATCATACATAAAATGAGAAAAAGAAATTGGATAATTAACATTGGTCTCTTTTGGCCTAGTTCCTTAGAAAAATATTTTTTTTTAATGACAATACTATCAAAAGGGTGCATGCTGTTCCATCTGGATACTTTGTGTTTAGTTAAAATTGACCCTAAGCTTTCGTTCTGAAAATGTTAAATAATGTGAAAAGTTACAGACAGATGGACAGGCAGGCATTCTTCAAACTTTGAAAAGGAAAGCTTACATGAGCCTCTGGATCAAGTGAATAATAAAATAAAAATGTACCATCATTATATCCAGCTTTTGCCCCTATCTTAGGATCATAGATGACAAAATCAGGCCTAAGTTTGCTGGCCCTTTTCCCTTTCAGTAAGGGTATCAGCCCCCCAAGGTACTCCAGGTACATTGTATAATGCCCTCCTGATGTTTCCTCCCCATGCCTGATCATGGTACAGAACAGTCGCTCACTAGCTGGGGGAGGGGAACAGATGAACTCACGTAGCTTGAAAGGGTCTGGGATGTAGCTCTGAAAAAAGTATGACAGTGCATTTTTTTTTCCAATCATTGTAAATATAGCAAACAAAAATAAAAAATTTAAGGATTTATTGAAACAGTAATAGCATCTAACTGACAAGTTGTGCTCATACAAGTGTGATAATTTGGTATTAAAATAATGTATGCTGCTGTTATGAGAGGTCTCCTAGACATTATCCATTTCTTTGGTTTGTCCAAGCTCTCTTTTACAATTTTCGTATTGTACTCATTGAAAATATTCCATAGTTCAGATGGGGTGTCACAGGTACAACATGGCAAATACTGACATGGTTTCCTATTATAATAATTTTATTTTAAAATCAATTAGCCATCAAATTATTACCATAAGACAGTATTAAGCCAATAGACTAGCAAGCACAATCAAATCATTGCAATTATCACTTAAGTAAAAGACTCAGACTTCTCTTTCAAAGCCATATGCATTGGTTGGAACAAGTTGGTGAAAAAAAAATATTGTCTAGCTCTGAACTTCATCACTTGTAGACATTTATGGCAAATTGATATTAATTAGAATTGGCTATATGTCACAATCAACAAAATTGATAATGGAATCAGATAAAGAAAACATTTCAATAAAAGTACAAACAAGTTTGCATCCATGCAGACAGGAAGGCAGATGCTATCTCCTGAAGGAACCTTGTTATCAATTTTTTTCCCTATTTCAGAGCAATAACATCTTGTACTATAGCTTACTATATCAAAAAAGACAAAAAAAGAGACTGTTATCACAAATTTGATGCTGATCGAGCCCACTTTTATTTATTACCAACTACATGAGCTTCAGTGATATCAATTCAATAAACGAAGTATATGGGCACAATACTCTCATTTCAAACAGCACATTTTTATTCCTTCATGGAATTCTTTAACACAATATATTTAGAAATTGGCAGAAAACTGATTCTTGCATGGCTTTGTGCAATCAAACACAAGAAATTTATTGTACATTACGTAACACAACACTATTTATCAGAGCTTTCCATGGTAACATAATTGGCACCCAGAGACTTTCTTTTATGAGAAAATGCTGGTATGGCCTTTGACATGTTGAGAACTCCGAGACTTTTACAATGAGAAAATGACAGATGATGTAAAGATTCTTATCGACATTTAAGCAAATATCTTTTTATAACAGCATTCCTGTAAACAATGTGAATTTACTGAAGAAATACAGTTTCCTGTGAAAAAAATAAACTTAATTGCACCATTTATCTGAAGCCTGTTTCTATTTTCCCCAAACTTTGAGATAAATCTCATTTCTAATTTTTCATTTTTTTTTTTGACAAGGTTTCATGCTTCCATAAAATGTTAAATTTATTAACATCTCTTTGAAAAATTGTCAAATAAAGTTTGGAATTTCAGAATAGAATTTCAAAGAGACTGGGTTGCAATAGATTGAATGATACTGCTAGAAAATAGGTGAATTTGAAACATATACAGAGAAGATTCTGAACCACAAGGTTTAGTCTTGTGGTGAAGTCTAAAAACAAAACCATTATTAAACACTATAAAAAGAGATGATAAAACTTAATTTCAATAAATGAAAGAATTTTTAATGTTTTGTAAACTTTGGATTGACTTAATATTGTGGCATTTATGTACAAATTTGACAAAATTGAACCAAGAGTTTATTAATAAGATATTTGGTTTTATCCCTTGAGATAAGCGAAAAAGCAAAAAGATGCTGGGAAAATCCTTGTATTTAGCATGAGTCAATTGAGCATAAAGTGAAGGTCAGTTGCAACATCTGCAGCATACATCACATTTAGTGTCCATTATGATGCACTATATCTCTGAGTTTTGTTTGAATACTCCTTCAGAGACAAACAATGGGCCTAACCTTGCAATAAACTTAAGTCAATGGAGCATTAATTTAAAACTGATGCAACATCTAAGCTCTGGGCCATAAATCTTATACAAGCTCAGTTTTGATCTCAGTTTCACTTTTCCATATGTATATTCCTTTTGTAAAAATGAGACGCAGAGCAAAAGTGAGCTTGTCCAAGTTTTATGGCCCCCAAGCCTGGAGCATTCATCTCATTATCTACCAATATCTGCATTACATCCATATCTGCAAGTTTGGTTTAAATACTTTTTGGGGGTTTTAAGCAGAAGACCTAAATGTTTAGTTTTTTTTTTTCCTTTCGTCCACAGACGTACAGGAACCACATTTTCAAAAGAATTTATGACTAAGACGAACAATATAGCTGTTTCTTAAATTTTGTCTACCTAATATTTTTCGCAATTGAAAAAAATTGCTCTCTAATAAATACTTCCCTAAATTCTTAAAGAATTACATGACTTCTTCAAATCATGATATCCAGCTTTGGCCCCTATCTTAGGGGGGAGGGGGCATAATTTTTCTTGTACTTTAAGAGATAAAACACATGTTTTCTGCCCAATAAAGTGTTAGAAATCATTCAATGTGACAAAAAAATCCAATCAGTCCTATTATAAGAATAAATGGAGATGACTATATAATAAAAATTTCACTTTTAATCTTTTATCCCAGCTCTTCGATCTACATACAACCAACAAAATATGGCTGATATACTACTGACTCTGCATTAAACAATCAATCAATCTGCATTGATACTCTATCTTCAAATGACGTTACCTTGATAGTTGGTGAGAACATGGTTTGAACGCTATGATGGAGTCTCATGGGCAGAGGTAGTTTTCCTATTAGTTTCTCACTTTTTATACAAATCTGTATGACTCTCTGGCAGAGGAATTGTAAAGGTGGCACCTTCTTCATCACCCATGCCACGTGGAGGTTGAACCCTGCTGCCACAAAAAGGCGGCGGTCATTGTGGCCCCAGCATAGGGCACTCAGAGGTTTACCCTGCAAGTCAGAACGAAAACACATGTACTTTCTTTAATTTTATTAAATTCATGCAAAAACAGTATGAGAATTAAAGAACATTAATTTTTAAAAGAAGTCAAACATTAAAGACCTTAATCCATTGCAAGTGTTCGTCTAAATCAAAACAATACACAGAATTATGTATGAGCACTGTGTAGCATTAAAATCATATTGTATTTCAAAAGATAACATGATTCTGTATATTTTGGTTTCTACAAATGGGGGGGGGGGGGGAGTAAAAAAAGTTTTTTAGTATACATTTCCTGTGCTTGTATTTATAGGTTAATACACGAGGCAGCAATGAAGATCTCCCGAAAAACAAACCACTCCCTGCAATAATTAGTGCTATTAGTTCATCTTACCATCCATCAACACAAAGCATAATTATTACCCTAATTCAAACAGAAATTCATCAAACAAGATTGATTATTCATAACAAAGCCAATGACAACTTCACCTAATATCCTTTATAGAGACATAAATAGGTCAGGGTAAAAAAACAAAAGAAGCCTGACAATGATCGCAATTTATCAAACTGCATCCGCTTTACTTCGTTCTGAGACTAATCAAAGAGACTCTAATGCGACAAGGCCTAGCTAATTGTAAGGAACTCTAGATAAAAATTATCTAGGCTAGACCAACAACCCATATATATGATCTCCGGATCGGAAGCATTTACTACTCATAAGCTGTCTAAGTTACGTAAATGCAATCACGGCCTACCTAACTTTGCTTTCAGATGCCTAATTTCAATAAATACATCATGTCTGACCCAAAACATAGTTTACCAGCATTTATTACTTTGGATTCCAATAAGTTATTTGTCTGAGACATCCATATTAGCATGAAAAAAAACTATGGAAAATAGCACTGCATTAAAATGCATTGGAGGCTTTAGAACTTGATTGTGGAACTTTTATTGATATTGAAATGGAATTCTTGATAGCTCTGGAAGACAGTCCAATCTTGAGGTGAAAAGGAGAGAGAGAGTAAATTATCAAATGTTAATTTTTTACGTCATCTACAAATTAACAAATGAATAAATAGTTAACCTTCATTCACTCATGTCAAATCATGTGTCTGTTTGTGTTCTACTTTGACGTCAACATCACATTTACCTGCGTAGTGCTCACTTGTTTATTTTGTGCCATACTCATAATTGTACCAATGAATCCAATAAAAAAATTTCTCCATTTACATTCTACATGAATTTAATTATTTGAGAAACTAAGTAGAAATTTTGTCTCTCTCTTGTAGACCATATGTTTCTGATACAGTAACTTTGAACCAACAGAAACATAACATCCTGATCTTCATATCAACTCTTTTGTTAGTGCTAATCTCATCAATGTTCTTGAAGAAGAAAAATCACTCATCAGTCAGAAATGAAAAATGTTCCAAGAAATACATTGTCTCTGGTATATATAGCAATTAAGATCTAATTTCAAATACGGAAATTAATAATGATTTTAAGCTTACTTTATGCTTTCAATTTTAAATTAGGTTTTCATCTCAACCTGATATGGTTTCTCTACCTCCTACTTTTATCGTACAACTATAAAAAATATTGTCAATTAACTGATAGGAAAATAAAGAAGAAAGACTATAGGATCTGTTCTACAGAGCCATTAACTATCTCTCAAAGGTTACTGAAGATATATTAATTGGAGAGAAACATTTCCATTCCAAGTCACAGGGGCATGCAAATCCTAGACAACCAGTCCGAAGTATGTAATTATGATAGATTTTTTATTCTATCTTCAAACCAATCGCAGATCAAATAACAAATACTGTAATTTCAAATTAATGTACCATTTAATGATATTGCAACTTGTTGTTGTGAACGTTTTTTTTTTAACCCTAAAAGACAATGGGCTAATTCCTATTTGACCTTTGACCTATGAGTTCTACCTTAATATGAAGAAATAGACTCAAAATTTTAATCAATGACAAAAAAAATCTTGAATGCTATCACATATATACATAGATCATCAGATTATATGTTGTTAAAGTGGTAACAAAAGAAATGCAATCAGAAATAATTAATCTAAAGAGTGAATATTGACCAAGATGTACAGTGTTATCCTTTTTTTTTTTAAATCTAAACATTTATCTATTAATTACCAGTAATTATTCTAAGACTTCAACATTTAACTTCCTGTTGGGTTTTTTTTCCCCTTAAAATGTATGCCTATAAACCTTCTGGCATCTTTGGAATACATAGGAAAAAAACTTAATTGGAAAACCACATTCTTTAATGCACTCTGCCAAAGCGTACTTTTAATCTCAAAAGAATAAACTCCATTTACTGTCAGCTTCACGAATTGCTGCCGACTCCAAAAAAAGTAAAAAAAATTAAACAAATTAGTAGCAGGGATATCGACTTTTTTGCCTATTTTGTCACGTTTGGTGATTTCCATTGCTCACGATAAGTATAAATGGTTAGAATGGCAAAGACAAGAATAAATCTCCCCGTCATGACTGCTGGAATGGTCTCCTGGAATGCTGCAATTCCATCTATCACAACACTGGCATCCTGATGGATGAACATAATCCTAATCAAGATTTCAAAATGGGACAAATTTCAGGGGTAAAATTATGGCACTAAATGTCTTAAGTGCAGAAGAATTTCAAAGATATGTAAGAGTAAGTGTAATTTCTAACTTTTTTTTAAAATTTGATATTAAAAAAAGAACAAAGGGTCCATGGCTCTCATTTATCAGAGAAACATTCATTGCCAAGAAAAAAAATCCCAAGGATTTATCTGTGGTAGCAGATCATACTGTAAGTCCTGGTTTCAAGCAATATAGAATATTCAGACAAAATTAATTAAATTTACCACTTTCAGGACTTTACTCCCTGCACACATATACAAAACAACAATTATAGACATGTTATTTATTAATCTTGTTAATCTTGAAAATTGAAAATCCCTTTCCTCCAAAAATTTGACTTTTCAGGAATCAGGACACTGGATGTTTAAGTATATTGCTTTACCTGGCAGGGGAGATAAACCCTATGTAGGAGTTGTCCCTCTTTTGTGTAAAAATGAACTTCATTTTGGCACTGAAGATTTGGTAATCTTGTGAATCCCCCGACAGCTAACACCTCTCCACAGTTGGACCAGTCCAATTTAATGGATCCTGTTCAAAGAAAATATGTACAGTAGGTACATTGCGATATCATTGATAGCAATGTAGCTTAATCTAATAAAAGTGCTAAAAGCCAAATACCAAAAAGCTATATTTTGTGTGAAATGAGACAAAGCCATTAGTTTTTTCTGGTCAAGAAGATTAAAAATTCTCACTAGGGACCAAGTTCAAAGCAAAAATATATCTGCTCATGTGATATACACGTACTCCACCTCCAAATAAATGATACTACATACATATTGGGGAGGGGCGTACCTTTTTTAATGCAATATTGCTGCAAAACTGAAAATAGCCAGAGAGAGCACATTTGTCATAATGTAATGCAATTTATGTCAATTTACTTCCAAGTATTCACTTCTAGAAAACAGTCAATGAAAATACACTTTAAATAGAAACACAGAGATCAGATAAGGGGCAAAATACTCGTACAGTTGATTCTATAATCTTCTACCTAATGAAGCAAGAATATGTCCTATGGCAAATTCATGACATCCTCATTAGAACAATGTGCTCCCAGCTTTTGTAACGTAGATAAGCAATTGTTGCCAAACAAAAAAAAATGTCTGTTCCTGATTGTTGCAGGGCCCATTCCTTGTCATGCAATCAACTTTGGCTGATTCAAAACAGTGACACACACCAAACACAACTAAAATCAATTTCCTGTACAAACTGGAAACCATTCCTGCGAGTGACTGACATTTCTGTACTGGGTTTCTTTGCAATAACCTCAAAAAATCTCAGAAACAGCAGGATATTTAGGAAAATGATAGAAAGATAGCATGGGTTTGAAACAGAAAGATAATTGTAGATCTGGAGGACACAAGGCATTTTCTGAATAATTTGGAAGTCATGTTGTGTTATATGTCTTAACAGGAAGGAAAACCCCACAGGGAATAGAAAAAGAATTTTAAGAAATCAGCTTTCTTTATTATGATTACTGGCTCAAAACAGATTTAAGAGTTTATATCAGAAACAGAACTGCATGTACTAAAATGGAAAAAAAAAATGGAAATTACATTTTCCTCCGAAACTACGTTTTCCCTGAATTGTTTAATTTTTGATGTCTGATGGAAAATGAGCTTCCATGATAATAAAAGCTTTTCGAGTTTTAATAAAAATTTCAATATTTGTATTCAAGCACTAAATACATACACTTCAAATCAGTTATGCATTATTAATACTGATGCCATATAATTTAAAATATGAAACAGACAGTGACAGCTTTATTAACAAATGAAGTTAAATGAAATTACGAGGCAAAAATGAGACTCATAATACATGCATTTCCCTTCCTTTCACTTAACCACTTTCATAAGTATTAGTAATTGGGGTTAATCTAGTCAAGAAAATTACCTTTGAGGTTGGTGTAGATGATCCTAGGATGCAGATCATCAAAGTTTGACATTAAGTATATGGCACCACTCTTAAAGCACACCGCCAAAACGGCATCCATGGATTTAGGTGTCGACACTAAAATAGTACAACATGCATATGTTTACAGACTACTGTTTAAATATTTACATCTACTGCATATGTTTCCCTGTATGCAGGGAAATTTTTTCCCCCTTTATTCTTGCCCCTTTTGCCCTTGTCGCAAGAGGGTGAATTTAAACCGGGCAATTTCAAATTAAGAATCACTATCTCTTACACACAGCTGTGTCTGGATGAATTTAAAACGGGGCAAAATTGTCCGTAAGTGTGCACAGGCAAAAATAACCCTTCATACAGAAACAACATGCTTACAGAGATTGAGTACTTTTTCTGCAATGTTGCAACTGTTAATCTTCACAGAAACAAAGTATTTTATTGTTTAAAAAACTGTGATGATGCAAAAAAGACTGTCTAAGAAGCAATTTTCTTTTTCAAACAATTACTGTACAACTACATAAATCAGTGAACTCAAAATTTTGTGCAAAGTTCTTATCAACTGATTACAGCGTAATCATAAATTAGTGCATCTTTATGTTTTTGTTTTATTGATATAGTAGCAAGTACTTGAATTATTGAACAAAATGCAACAAAAAAGGTCCTAAAATATGATTACTTCTAAATTAATTTAAGTATACAGGAAACATCTTTTATAACGTATCTCAGGGGACTGTGATAAATCCTACGTTATAACCGGTGTACGTTATAAACGGAGACCGGAAGTACTCAGTACACCTTTACCGTAAACACATTTCAAACCGCTAGTGTGTTATTAAATATTTTAAAGTATGAAGAGAATGTAAATAAATGATTTACATGTTATTTGGTTTCATTTCTTATATTAAGAAAGATTAATATTCAATAACATTTTATTTTCACAAACTATAAATTATTTCAAAAGTGCTGTAAAATCTTGATGATCGTCAGATCATTTAGAAGAGTCCGTAATGTTTGTCTGTTTGCCTGACGAAATTTATTTACAAAATTTTCCAGAGTTGGATTAATTTCAAAGATGAACTTTATTCAAACAATTTGTTATAAATACATCTACCTAAAACAACAAAGAAACCTCGTTAGAAAAATATCCATTACGGAGAAGCTATGAAGTCAACAAACCGTGACTTATCCGCCGTCACTGATAGAAAAGGTGTGAAACCAGGTGTCAGAATACGTTATAAGAGGTGTAATTATGTAACGGGACCAAATTTCTAATACTTTATAAGCGATATTACGTTATATACAAATACGTTGTAAGCGGTGTTTTTTCCAATGAAATATATAGACACTTTGTCGGGACTAAGAAATGGCTACTTTACATCTGGAGATACTTTATAACCGAGTGCGTTATAAAAGAAGTTTACTGTATTTACTGATATTACTGATAGAGTATTTTCAACATATACTGTTTCCGAGAAAACTTGCTTTTTTCACCCAATTCTATAATGGAATTGATCCGAACAAATATTCAACTTAATTGAATAATGAATGCAATACTACAAACAATACATGTTAAAGAAGGTGGCTATGACCGTTAAAATGATTGAGAAATTATGATTTTATGTCGACCAGCCAATTATAAACAGAAATAATACAAGAAACCATTATATATCATTATATAATAGAGCCATACTCTAAAAGAGAAGGTTTTCTTTTTCATTATCATGTCAACTCATAGATTTAAAAAAATAACCATTATTTACATAACTCACATTTGTCACACCCTCCCCCCTCCCCGTCAAGAAAGGGGGGGTGAAGATAGGGTATAAAGAGCTAGGCACTGCATTAACAAGTTGTAAACAGTAATTTCAATTATTATATGACTTCAGTTTCCTCTATTGATAGAGATTAATGGAAGCAAACAGAGTTTTAGTGAAAAACAATGCTAATTTACATCCACTAAAAATACGCCAGACTATACATAATTTATATGGTGGAAAACAGCTCAGCTATCAAAAATGGCAGTATAATCAGGTAGGAGGTATTATTTGTGAACGATTATTACCTCTTGATTGCAAGATGGTGAACTTCTGGTCAACTTGAAATAATGAAATGAGAATACACATTATATGAGGAAAAATGCTTACTAAAAATTTACGTCATGACGTCAATAATAAAGTTCAGCTAAACCTGTAATAATCTGTTGCCTTTTGAAATTAAATAAAGATGACATTTAAAGTAGAAAGAAAATTCATATTCATCTACTTCGAAAAAAATAAAATGTCTATTCAATTCTAGTATTTATAATATATAAATTTTATCTGGGGCAATCAAATTTTAAATACCCTTTTTGTTGTTGCTATTCTATGCCTAACACACAGTGCCTATTTATCATTTCTTAGATTTGAACCAAATTGGATTAATTTCTATTGCGTTTTTTACGTCTCAAACAGTGGTCTCACCATTAGGGGCTGTAAGGTTTTCATTCTGCTCCATTGAGGACTCGTCCATGTTAAACTTTTCACAGGACCATGCAAGGGAGATAATCTCTGTTCCTTGCATCACCATCACTTGTGTTATCATGGTACCTGTAGAACTCAGCACAATGATCTGTCCATCCATAGTACCAAACAGAACCTGTAAAACAAATGGAATAGTCAGGTCATTCAAAGAATTAAGTACAAGAGCCAAGTCTATAAGACAAATTACTTATCATGCTTACTGGCCCAAATAAGACTGATTTTTTTAACACACATGAAACATGACAGGAAAAAGATTTAGCTGCATATGGTTAGGAATTTGAACCTGGGACCCCTGCATTACTATTCAGATGCTCTAACCTCTGTGCTCCCCAGGCTAATATCAACACTCTGTATAGCCATAACCACTGTATTCCTCCCTACTCAAATGTCTTTGCTCTCAAAGACACACAATCTAAATTCTTTAGCCCCTGGCAAAACTTTCACCTGCAAGTCCAGGGGTGATCAATGTAATAGTGAAAATTTATGAAATTTATTACTGGACCTGGAATCAAACCAAAGACACCTGTATTTACAGTAAAACTTGTCTAATCTGGGCACCACTGGTTCCATAGAAATTGGGTGGATTAGACAACATTCTGGATTAGACAACATTTTTGACCATTGAATTCACTGAAAGGGATTTAGAGTTTGCATGGTATTAGACAAGAGTTCAAATACACAACATCCAGATTAGACAAGTTTCACTGTACTAGTCAGGTGCTCTATCCAGGCTGATACCAACAGTCCATTGAGCCATCAGTATTCCTTAGCAACTAAATGGCTACTAGTTAAGTAATTTACATCAGAATTATTTGAGGGTGGGTGTGGGGGGTTGCATTCTTTTTTTCTTCTTTTTTTTTTTTGCAAATTGAGATATCATAAAATTAATCCCCTGAAACACTGCATAATCCTTCAGAATACTTTGCATAAAGGCTGAACTTCCTATCTGAGTATTTAATGAAAAATACCTTTTTTGACATCAAAATTTACAGTCCCATCGAATTAAAGCATTGCTCATTTGCTTGTTCCATTTCAAACTGGATTGCTTTTTTAAGCATCCAACAAGTACAGCTAACACAGATTTTTTTTTCTTAATTTCTTTCCTTAAAACACCCATAAAAATTAATGTGTTTATTCTATCAGTCTTTTCAACCAAAAGGATAAAACAATATCAATTCTATATCAGTCAAATCAAATTGTTCCCAACTTCTCTCATTAAAAGCTTTGCATGCATATTTATTTTGATAAATGATTTCATAAACAAAAAATTAAATAGCTTTCAAATTGCCAGGGGATTAGAATATGTGATTTTCATAATGGTTTATGGATTTTTTAATCACCATTATAGTGAAATATTTTTTTAATGCATGTTGCTGTGCATTTTCCTGTGTCCACTTTTTAAGAAATTCTCTTTAAGAACCATTCATTATCCTGATAATCATCAAATTTAATCTGTGAATCCTTGCATCTACATGTATACTTAAGCCTCCTTGTTTCTGCTGCAGATTTTTGTATTGATTTCTTTAAAAGCTTTAATTTTCTAGAAAATGACTCTTTAATTTCAGACTGTTCTGGCATGCTTAGAAGAAATAAATGTACGTGTATCAGATTACAAAGCAGGGCAGCGGATGCCACAGCAATTATTCTCCTTTTATGGATTTTCAACAGCTTATAATAAAAACGATGAATATTGAGCAACTGTTAATTTTTTCAGAACAATGTCCTTCATGAGTCATTCAAAACAAAATTCAGATTACAGAAAAAAAAAACAATTTGGTAGCCAAATAAAAAGATTTTTTCCAAGACAAATCAACTGGCATAACAGAAAATCTACACTGGTCCCACTGTAATAATTAAAAGACATGTTGTTCTTGTGTTTTTTTCTTAAAAATAAACGGTTACTGTGAGGTCTTTTGTTACGATAACTGAAAGACAAGTTCAATAACTTATATATCCATATTGTTCATTGACACAGCTGATGTTGGTGTGAGAGGGTCATTAGAATGAAAATAGCTGAATTGTCCTTTAATAGGCACCAGTACAACTGAGAGAGTGACCACAATTAACACTCCTACATTCAATCCTGCTTAGTCCTGGTAAAGAACCAGCTGCCAAACACTGGTGAGCACAAAAATCGCTACCATTGTGGTACCCAGACACACGTACACTTAACATGCTATATTTCAGTGAAGATAAGCTAAAAAATTCCTAAATTATACCTTTTATATCTTTTTAATTTCTATAGAAGCATTCAAGTGGCATTTTACAGACCATTACATTAGCTAATGGAATATATGATCCATATCAATAATCCACCCACGATGGTATTTTCCATAGAAAAAATAATCAAAAAGATCAAGCACACAAAGACAAGCTGGGTTAAAAAAATATTAAGACTAAAAAACAAAAAAAAACCCAAACTACTCAGTTTGCCTTTAACATGTTTAACTCAAAGTTTCAGATTCAATTTCTTGTACTTTTTATCATGAATTTTAGGTTGATCTAACGAGATGGAAGATTGTGTGATATTTTAACAAGGCATAGGACCCAGTTTATGTCACCTTCGATTATGTATTGCCATATCTAGACGCACTAAGGGCACTCCGACTAAAAAGGCTTAATCAGGCTTATGTCAGGGAGCATAAAAGTTAATGTTGCTGAGCATGCTAATGTCAATGAACAGGGTAATGTCTGCAAATACAAGCTAATGTTAGCACCATCTAAACAAGTTCTTATCTTAGCTTTGTAGTTATGTTAAACATCTGACCACTGAACTTATCAAATTAATAATTGATTCAAGCAAGCCCAGGGACTTTAAAATTTGACACCTTATACATTTTATTTCTGTGAAGGAAAACAACAAATCATTTTTTATTGTTAAATTTCAATTTTTGTGCTAATAAGAAATGTACCACATGCATGCACATGCAGTACGTGCATTTCACTTGAAGCACTAAAATGATCAAGAAAATAAATGCTGTTCAGCATAAATCTTCGCTAGCCAAGAGTTTCTGATCCGCTATTAATTCTACTCTCCTCACAAACCTTTGGCCTATGGTGCTGTCAAAAGTCAGGTTTGTTTACGTCATATGATCTTGAATCTCAATACCACATACACACAGATTGCGTCATCCACAGAAATAAAAAGCGTACTAGTATTTAAAAATAAAAGTATTCAAAGAATAATTGACAAGCAGGTATCAAGTGTTGTTTATTTGTTATGTATAGGGTGCAAATCTTTACCTGCAATACAGATTTCTGATCACATAATGTGCACATCTGCTTAAAGCTGGATGACACCATAGCTACTTATAGAATGGCACATTATCCTACCGAACATTGTTCACTAGTGCTTTTCATTCCCAAGACTAAAGAGTCAACAAATATCCCGAACGGAGATATCCTCATTTACAAAAGCATTTGCTGACTGGTTGAACAATGTCAATTGACTCCAATCACACTTTGAGAAAAATCCTGACTTTTGATAGCACCTTATGAAAAGGGTTTGTGAGGAGAGTAACGGATCAGAAACCCTTGGCTTGCGAAGATGTTTAGCATATGGCACAATTTTGATTTCTTTCTATTTAATAATTGAAAACTGGCATGAAAAACAAGTACAGGTATTAATTTTTTTTTTTTTTCTCGGGGGGGGGGGGGGGGGGGGGGGATTAATCTTCCTAGCTGTCTCTGCTTTTCCAGGAACTCACCTGTTGATCATCAGGAGACCACACTCCACAGGTAATGGTGGTCTGATCAAGGTTAAGCATAGACGACCAATACATTTGACCAGCCACGGACCCAACCAGAACAAAACCATCACAGTAACAGATCAGGGCCATTCTGCCATCATGGGACCAAGAAAAGTCAGTCACCTTCAAAATGAATTCTTCATCATTTACATTCATATCTTGAGACTTAATATGTTGCAATTATTGCAAAGATTTAATTTCTGGGACGAAAAATTAATTAAAAAATTTTGTTTCATTATTTTTAAAGATTTGATTAAACCTGTCCCCAATACTATATATCCTAAAATATTTACATCCACTGAATTTTTTCTCCTTTGTTTCTTATGAAAGTCACTTCCCTTAATCATATCCATTCAATCTAAAGTAGTTAGAACCAATTTTTTCTTAGTCATCTTTATTAAAGATTTCTTAAGCAGTGGGCTTTTCAATCAAAGAAACATACCAAGACATTAAGATAAATAATAAAATATTTATTACTGTAACCTACTTTATACCAATATTTATACAGACTATTAAAATATAAACAATAAAATGCCTTCCAATCTTTATTTTTAATTATTATTAGATTAAAAGTTGCTTACGAGGGATATGTATTTTTTTTTTTAATCATTGCAACAGTTCATTCCCTCATCAGCAAACCAAATAAAGAATTAATAGTTTAAATATTTAGTTTAGACAGTAAGCTTTTCCTTTTTGATTTCTTTATAACTAGCAGACTGACACTAGTTCTTGAAAAATGTTGTTCCCATCAGGACAAATTTTAAAAGAATTTCACAAAAATCACCCATTATCAATTTGATTTAGTAGTTTCACTTTATGTTGGTTAATTCTGAGAATATTATTCCTGATATGTACAGCTCTCAACAAAAGGCATCTGGACCAAAAAAGAAAAGAAAGGATGAGGATATGGACCATTAAAAAACTCAGAAAGGGTAGGTCTACCAGAAAGAAAGAGAGGTTAGAGCAATGAACAGAATGTTCATTAACTTCTGATTCACAGAAATACATGTCACAGTTAATGTAGAATATTTTATGGTGCAAGATTTTTTGAAGTTAGGAACAGTGATAAATTATCATACAATTTTATTTTGCTCTAAGTGCATGGTGTTGAAGTGCATGTATATGGTGGCAAGAGAAACGATTCTAATAGTTTCAGATATGACAGTCAAGGTTCAGCAATACTCCAATGTATAGCTGTAAAATCAATATTTTGCTGGGGTCAAATTTTGTGGTTTGAGGAAAAACAATGGGTTCATGGGGATTTGATTTCATGTCTAAAGAATTGTTGAGTAGTTATGTCTATGACATTTTACATTTCATGGTGGACAGGATTTCATGGATCAACGAAAATTAACACCCCCCCCCCCCCCAAAAAATGAGCAATTCCACAGTATACCCCTAAATGCCCCCCCCCCCCCCCCCAAGAATATAATAAGAATAGACTGACAGGTCCTGCCAATTTTCCTTCAGGCAGCTTAGGGTCTTATTGCCCTACCCATTTGTTAACGTTTTCAAGAACTCTGAACTGGCACAGTTAAGAAAGACAAACCTGACTATTTCTATCATTGATCAGTTCTGTGGACCATCTTCCTTCATGTTTTATCCAAACAAATATGGCTCCCTGACCATCACAGGTGGCAAGTTTCTGGTAAGGTTCATTCCAGCGAACTAAAGTTACCTTGAAATAAAAGATTTTTTTCTTAGTATGTGAATGCACACTAGACAGATGCCTTATTTTGTGCAACTGCTATAATCAAAAATAAACTCTACAACTTACTTGTAGAATGTCTTTGATAACAAAAATCAATTAATTTATATAATTGTGCCATTTACTAATAGTATTTCCAAAATAAAAGGATACAGGAGACTCCGGGTTATCAACATGAGTTTAATCTAAAGAAAGAATTTTATATAAAGAAATTTCTATTTTTAATAAAAACGCAACACTGGTTGTTGAAATCAAAAACCAACAAAGAGAATTATATATCTTAGTATATAGTCTACTTGTGTACCAAGTCTTATTGAAATTGGACCAAAACTGTAGGAGGAGTAGCATTTTGAAAAATATTTTACTGACAAATTCAGCTAAACTGATGGACAATGGACACCTTACCAATGCATCAGATTTTCTGGTCCTTGACCAGTAGAGCTAAAATTATAAGACTTCCTACATAAAGACCCTGAATTTTTACAGCATTTTACAGAAAACAAATTTATGTTTGGTCTAATAGTCATAATATTGCATCTTCCACTTTAATACTAAAAGGCCAGATGTGCCAAAAGTAATTATAATAGCACAAGCTCTTTTCCTAAGCCCCATTGGTTTCAAAAGCCTGCCAAAGTACCATTTATTAATGAAGAGCCACAGTTACAAAAGGGGCTGCCAGTAGTTGGAAACAAATAAGCACTAGACCAGCAGGCATCTCATCTGAAGAAATCTGGCTTCAGAACTCATAAGACAGCAGGGTTCAAAATTGCACAGAGTAATAAGGCTTTTGTAAGAAAATTGGCAAACATTTCTTGACAGAGGCCAAAAAGAGAGACATAAAAGAAATCCTTGTTACAAAATGAATTCTTGCTCAAGACGATGTCAATATCGTTCTTGATCAAGGAATCACTTTTTGTCCTGTGATAAAGCCTGTTGGTTAAATCTCTTTGGTCAAATCTTCCTTCCCCTGTATTTAATATCACAAAGCATTTACAAAAACAGCAGCCGGAAGACATATTTTTATCAAATGAATGAAAAAAAATAAAAGAGTAAAGCCTAAAGCCAGAAGTCATTTCCTTTCTGTAATTCTCTACAAACAACCTTGAAATTGCAAATTGTAGCACTGCAGAAATACACTGAGCAGTATATAACCTTCATAGCAAAACTTTCAACAGAATTTCTTTGACACTTTATTTATGAAACTAAAACAAAATTAAATTCATATTAAGGACATATGCAACGTACCTTACCTACTGATAATTTTTCAAGATATTCTTAATTTAAGATTATAGTGGCATCAGATGTTCGTAGAAAAAAAATCAGCATGCATTACCAGGGGTTTTGAAAAGATATCAATTGATGAAAATTCTTGTATAATTCAAAAAAAAATATACAAAAATTACTAAGGATATATTCTAGATGTTTTGTTTATCCAAACTTGTTTTAGAAGAGGTGTACAATAGCATATATAGACATTTAAATGTAGCACACAGTTCCTTTAAGTATTGGAACTCTTCAACTCCAGGGAAAAAGACAATAAAGTTCAAACTACGTTGCGTATGTCCTTAATATATGATAAAAATTTACTTAGCAGACAGTGAAAAGAATTATCTGAACATTTAAAACAGATTGACTGACTATATACATGTATATATCAATCTAACTATCTGCCTTTAAAAAGGAAATAAACCCAGATATAAAATGGTGTACTTATGGAACAGGTACATTAAAAATCAAAACATTCAACAAAACAAAACAATAAATTCAGGAAACAATGTGAACCATATGTGTCCTGGTCATGCCAATTGTGGTTGTATTTTATGGTGTCACAGAGTTTTAATTACATCTGCATATTCAAATAAAGCACTTTTTAGAAACATTCTGCGAAGTAAAATTGCATGGATAGAATTCTGCTTCCTCTACAAATCTCCTGCTTTGAGCTATCAGTGGGAAACTATCGAATGATCAAACACTGAATTGTTCTACGATCACTCTAGTGTAATATATATGATTGTGTTGCCTAATGGGTATTATTGATAGAAAGCAATGTATATTAACAATGGCAACTGAATGGAAAATATTGACAATGCTTCTGCGACGTGTTCAAGGGAACCAGTATCCTTTTGGAAAGACAACAAATTAATCTCTTTGTACATACAGGATGGTGTCATTAATTTTGCAAATGATTTGAGATAAAATCAAAATAATTATTCACAGTTGGGGAAATAATATAATTGTTTGTTTATATACACTTCATTTGACCAAAATTTGAATTTTAGATACACATTAATTTTAAAGAGATTTGAGTTAAGTGGGATCCAAATCATGAAACACAAACCAATGAACTATTAAATTTTTTTTTCCCAAATATTTATATTTATTTAATAACTAGTTTTCTACAGTGGATATATTTAAGTTTACTTTTCCTATGTACTGACCTCTTAGAAGCACAGCTAGACTAAAGAAATTTAGAAAGAATATCAAGTGCTGTACATATTCATGAAAATGAAATCACAGAAATTCTTAACATTTTATGTCCTTAGTTTGCTCATTTACATATATATATTTCATCTACATATAATTTTGGATGATGTATTTTTTTTTCTGATTTATTCCCCTTGGCCACCATGTTAGATGTCTGAACTTCCTGAATTTTCTTCTTTGACACATGTGGAAGGATTATAAAAGACTTTAACAAATGACTATATTCATTAAAGAAATGTTTTCTCTATACTTCAATGACCAATATGATAAATAAGTTAAAATTGGTTCAGTCAATAATGAGGAAACTTAAAGATGAGGATGCTGACCTCCAAAATGGCATCCAGTAGGAAACTATCTAATGTATGTCTATGCAACACTTCTACAATTTTACAACTGGAAAATTATACTGATCAGCTTTTGACCATAAAACACAGCAAAACTAAAATATAAATATACAGTCAAACCTCGTTATCTCGAACTCGATGGGACCGAGAAAAAACTTTGAGATAGCTGTGAGTTTGAGATATTGAGGGTAAAATACTTAAAGAAAAAGGGCTTGGAACTTTCCAATTACTTCGACATTTCCATTAAATTGTATTTGAGATACCAAATTTTAACTGTACTACAATTTTATACGATAAACATAATTTAAATTTTTTGGTTTCATTCTAATATATTTTCAGATCTATTATTATCCTACATCCATTTTTTTACAGAGCAACTGATGCCATATAAAAGCCTGATGTTCCAGACAAGCTTAAAAAATCACCCTGAGTCTTAATATTTATCATCTAATACCAGTCTGACACAATTCCAAAAATCCTCGTTTCAGGAAGAAAAAAATCGTATTATGTCTGATTACTGTCTTGTTCCAACTCACGAAAAATATCCATAAAACTTATCAGCTAAGAAGGCCCATTATTATTTTGTTACATAACTTGTTATAATTTTCTGAAATAAATCAATATTTTCTGAAATAGCGCAATCAGATTTTCTAACCAAGTTCTGTCACAATACTCCAATTACAATCATTATATTGGATTCCGCTTTCGTATTACAATGTTGGACCTTCCTTTAATAAAATAAATCAGAAAAATGTCACAGCACCTACATTTTTTTCTTGCCTTTTGCACATCCAATCAATTTCAGGACATTTTTTATGGATTCAAATCAATTCTTTTTAACAATTTATTAACCAGAATCATACAATAGTGCAATAGCAATTCCCCTATAAATCAAGTTTAATCGCTTATGATGATTGTTCATTCCATTTTCCTAAGACGTCGCCTGGATTTATTAATAAAATTGTGAAGAATTTAAATAAAAATGCCCCTTTAAGATAAAAGCAAGTGTAAGAAGATCAACCAGGACAAGAAATTTAATAGTGATCTTATTGGAATGGAGTAAACAGAATTAGATGTTTTAAATCCATTACTGAGATTCAAGCAAAGAGTGCAAATCCTAATTTAAACTTTTCCACATTGGCACTCTCTTACTTTATTACTAGTGCTCAAATTCACTGAGTCCTGAATTTAGCTAACAAGTATAACACAGAGGTCCTTCACACTAAAGAGAATAAAATACCCAATCATACTGCTTGTTGAACCATCATTAATACAGTGCAGCTTCATTAATCCCGAAGCTTCACCTGTGAGGAATAATCTATATATATATATATACATGTACAGTGAAAATTATCTAATCCGACCCCATGCAATCCGTTTCACAGTGAATTCCCACCCTTATTTTCATTCCCGTTTTACTATTTTCCGTTTACTTTACACTGTGCAATCTGACACCCTGTCTATTCCGACACAAAATTTGTTTCCCAGTGTAAGTCAGATTAGACAGGTTTCACTGTATCAAGTATCATATGTTTCAGTTCTTTGGGTGCCTCATTAATCTGCCAGTGGATAATTTGCTCGGGAACACAAACGTCCCGATTAACAAGGCACAACTGTAGATGAAAATCATCTGCAGTTCTGTATAAACTCACCTCACTTTTGTGACCTCTCAAATTAAAATTACTACGGGGTGGTGGATCGTACTTCTTGCAGTGACTGGTGGTGAAGGTGACACCCACAACACCCTTGGCATTTCCACTAGCCAGCCAGCCCTCCATATAATACTGGTTTCGGTTCAGTTTCCATCCACCATTGTTGTCTGGTACATCCGGTACTTTTCCCATCCATGACAAGGAGTGGATCGTACATTCGGTTCGCGTTGAATTGTTCTGCTCAAAATGCACATGCATTTTGCTTGTCTCAGAACTTCGGATGGATCAATGACTGCATTTTGTTTTCAATTTCTCAGACACTGTAAAATCAAAAGAAGTCATTTTAAGTTTTTTATCAGGGTACGCTTTAAACAATTAAAGTAACTGTATAACACTATATATTTAAGTAATGATTCTAAAAATGTGCATACTACACTTTAGCTGTATTTTATCAAATTATTTGTCCCTCTCTCTTTCAAAATACCTTAAAGTAATTTCTTCCAACAAGGTAAATATATGTAAGAGTAAGTTCTGATGTGCATATATCGAAAAAATTGCCTGATCAAGCCATTTCACAAACCTTTACATACATAATTATATTGAATACTCAGAAGTTTGATCTTTTAAAAGGAATTACAGTAAAACTCAGTTACAACTAAGTCCTAAAGACCTGTGGATTTATACTTCTCTATATCCGTAATTCATTAACCGATATGAATCTGTTTAACTTAATTAAAAGTATATATAGCAGATTCGCAATACATGCTTCCTTTTAAGAGGGCCAACTAGGGTTTTTATTGCGCAATATTTCACGCAGCATAATAAAATCAAGCTAAATTAATTAACACTTTAAAAGCAACAATTTTCACATAATACACAATCTCAGTGTCACAAATAAATTTGTTGATTCTCCAAAACTTAACACATGTAACAAGATGAAAAACTTATCATTAAAAACACTGCTATGCTTCAGACATTTTTACAACAATCAATGGTAACTTAGAATTTGAAGGAGTAAATTTTGCCACATCAGACGGAGTACATATGCCTCACAGCAAGCTCTTTCTACACAAAAAGTAATTTCACTTCAATCTGAATCTTTTAATTGCCAACTGAAATAGGAAGCCTTAGAAATTAAACAAAACAGACACAATTTATATTGTTCATTTTCCATCTCCACAATACAAAGAGACATCTTGTACTTGTCTGGTTTTAATCCATGCTTTTATATTTACTAGCAATTAAAAGTGCCATTACACCAAGCACTCTGAAAGCCCTCTAGCAGCATGAACTTGTATCATAGGAGTCAATAGTAAACCTGTGCAGGGCAAATTGGATCAGATATTGGTTGAAGACACTGAAGTGGCAACCAATCCTGATCAATACAGATTTCAGAGTACAGTATACATATGTCCTATTATTAAAGCATATTTTCCCAAGAATGATATTGCAGAAGCATGAAATCTTCACAAAGACATACATAATTATGTATCAATTAACTTGAAGTAATCTGCAAACTTTTCTTTTTTTTAACAAAAAAATTTGCAATTTACAGTCAAACCTTGTCATTTCAAAAATGAGAAAAATGAGGCCGAGAAAAAACTTCAAGATATCCGAAGATTGAGATTAATTAAAATACAAACAGAACAAGAGGCCCAAGGGCCTTAACGGTCACCTGAGTACAACAATTTAGAGGATCCATAAACTGATAAATGAAGCTTTAATTGTTACCCAATAGCAAGAAAATTAGTATGATTAAGATCAACAAAATAATTGGTCTAGTATCTTTCTATCTGCCCCCCATTTATCACTATTACCATGCAGACTTTTAACAAAATGTCTACATTATTACCCCTCACATTGGCCTCACTTGGCCTTTGAAGAACATTTAAGAAGATAAGTTATTTTTGTTTCATTTTTATTTTAATTATCTATTATTTCCAAGTCTACCTGATTATTAAAACTATGAAAGTACTTTTTATATTATACAATAAATGTTCTTGCATAATTCTCTTATTCTATTAACCTTTCAAATACATTATCTACAGTGATTAATTATCAAAAGTGAATGGCAAAGGGGAATAACTTCACTCTGTCAATAGAATACAAATTAACAGAGCCCTGGCCAGGACCAGAACACTTGACTAAATGGTCCAGATGTTGAAAATTTATAAATTTGGAAGAGGTACCCTCATCATCATAACTATGCAATTAGTTGAAGATTTTCAAAGAATTCACACATTTTCACTATATTATCAATAGAGCCCCCCCCCCCCTCAGAGAAACAACAGAACCCCTGGGACCACAAGTTTTAAAAATTTTGTAAAAGCATCCTTGCTCATCATAACTATACACTTGTTTCTTTGCTTTATAACCAGGAGTAGAAAAAAATATTTTGAAGGAAATTATGAATTTCACTATATAATCAATAGAGTCCCCCCCCCCCTTTCACCAGAACCCCTGACCCAGGGGCCATGAAATTCACAATTTTGGACGAGGCAGCCATGCTCATCATAACAATGTACTAAGTTACTTTATTTCATACCCAGGAGCAGAGAAGAAGATTTTGAAAGATAAAATGCATTTTCACTATATAATCAATAGAGCCCCGCCCTAACACTAGAACCCCTGACCCAGGGGCCATGAAATTCACAATTTTGGAAAAGACAGCCATGCTCATTATAACTATGTACTAAGTTACTTTATTTCATACCCAGGAGCAGAGGAGAAGATTTTCAAAGATTTAATGCATTTCCACTATATAATCAATAGAGCCCCACCCTAAAGCCAGAACCCCTGACCCAGGGGCCATAAAATTCACAATTTTGGAAGAAGCAGCTATGCTCATCATAACAATGTACTGAGTTAATTTATTTAATACTCATGAGCAAAGAAGAAGATTTTTAAAGATATAATGCATTTTCACTATACAATCAATAGAGCCCCGCCCTAACACTAGAACCCCTGACCCAGGGGCCATAAAATTCACAATTTTGGAAGAGGCAGCCATGCTCATTATAACTATGTACTTAGTTACTCTATGTCATACCCAGGAGCAGAGGAGAAGATTTTCAAAGATTTAATGCATTTTCACTATATAATCAATAGAGCCCCACCCTAACACCAGAACCCCTGACCCAGGGGCCATGAAATACACAATTTTGGAAGAGGCAGTCTTGCTCTACATAACTATGTTCTAAGTTAGTTTATCTAATACCCAGGAGCAGAGAAGAAGATTTTCAAAGAAATAATGCACTTTCACTATATGATCTATATAGCCCCACCCTAGCACCAGAACCCCTGACCCTGGGGCCATGAATTTCACAATTTTGGTAGAGGGCTCAATGCTTATTACAATCATGCCAGCAGTTTGACTGCTTGATGTCCAGGAGTAAAGAAGAAGATTTTTAAAGATTGCATTAATTTTGGTGGTTTTAGCCCCACACCTCAGGCCCCAGGGGGACAGGGACCATGAAATTCACAATTTTTGTCCCCCTTCACCCACAGATGCTATATGCCAAAATTGGTTGAAATTGGTTGAGCGGTTTCAGAGAAGAAGCTGAAAATGTTTAAATGTTAACGCACGACGGACGACGCACGACAACGGACAAAAACAGATAGCAATAGGTCACCTGAGTGACTCAGGTGACCTAAAAAGTGATTGGGACTTCCAACTCACTTTGACATATCCATGGTAATTGAGATATCAATGTTTGAGATACTGAAGTTCAAATATACATGTATACAACCGAGATATGAAGACAGCTTATTAGTGCATGCACAATGATGAATCTTAACTTTCCCCAAAAATGGAATTATTTGTTTGTTATACAAGATCTTACATTGAATCAATGAAATGGTAAAAGAAGTTAAGTAGCAATGTTCCAATCATGCCTGCAATGACAAATTGAACCTTAGAAGATCAATTTCAAAAGAGCTAGTTCAGAGGTTCATATGTAGTTGAACCATGTTAATATTGAACTCAATTAAAAGAACCAAGACATATCTTCTTACTAGATATTTGGGGATTCAAGATATTGAGAAAAAGTTGCAGGGACTTCAAACTCACTTCCATATATATCCAAAGTATTGTCAATGAGACATATATTTTCAAGATACCGAAGTTCAACTGCATATTGTGATTCAAACTCCTCACAATATCTGATCAAGCTGGCAAATAATCCATCATTATCAATTATATAAATTTATCTCTAGAAATTGGCCATTTTCGAGCTAAAAACCCTTGTTATTAATTTTGCAAAACATGCTTGAATGGGGTCAAGTGGATAAAGTAATTTGACATTTATTCAAGTTCTGTCACAGGAAACAAACAAAACAACCTCAAATTATGTAAATTATTCTGACATTTATACAAAACATAAACACTGTAAACATGGATTTCAACAACATATTTGGAGAAACTTTGGTAGTTTAATCTCTGCGTCAGGATGGTTTATTTACTCTATCTTATAACAGGCCAACACTCTTTATGAAGGGAAGGAAAATAAACAGTTTTGCTGTATTTCTGATATTCTTTTACAATTTGACAAAATATCACTTTGATATTCTTTCACAATGTGACAAAATATCAGACTTTTATTCAATAAAAAATCAGAGTATTTCACTGCTGAAAATGTCATTAATATATATCACTGAAAATTCTACTAGTCCTGTCTGGCTAGTGCTGACTGCTGAACTACATTTTAATGGTCCAACAGAATTTTTTTGGTGCGCATGCACTGTACGTTACATTCAGACCTGTTGACTTCAAAGCCCTCGTATTAGGCTTATCATAAAAACTACCTTCCCATACAGGTACCTCATCATGAACTCTAACTTGAAGAGTTATAAAGGGAAAATAGCCCTAAAAATGCTTGTAATCGAAAAATTGAGAGTTAAATAAACAATTCAGTGAGTTTCAATTTTGGAGTTCCTGACAAACAATTAAGATGATATTACCTCTTCTTGAATGGTTAAGTTTTAAGGGTTACTGACACCATGCTGATGAAGTTGCACTTTGCACCCCTTATGCAAACAACATATGTTATCCAGGGATTTATTAGTACCTTCTCAGGGGCCGAAATTCGGCCCCATTCCCAATTGAAAATGAGTTCAGTTTTTCCCAATTTGGCAGTATTTTTTCCCAATTGGTGAACAATGTTTTTATATTTAATTATCTAGGAAAAACACAAAGTAAAATTGTCAGATTGTCTGTAATTTTCATCTATTTAACTCATTTAGGAAAGCTTCAGTCATTAACACGTTTAAAAACACTGTAAAAACATCGCCAACTTTCAATCCGAATTTCCTCCGTTTTTCT